AACATATGATAAACAATCCAGTATTCACAGATGCAGAAACAGACCAGGTGATGATTAATCTGAGTTTTTATGAGTCGGAACTCAGCATTGGGGAGAAAATCCAGAAACCATTTAAATTCGGTATTCTCTCCTCCTAAGTATGATATATTTTCTAATGCAGATTTGCCCAATGTTTTAATATTTATGAAGCATTTTATAAATATAAGCCTATCAATGTCTTTGTAAAGATTCACTAACCCAATTTTGCAGATGAGAAAACTGAGAGTCAGAGAGGCTAAGGTACTGCCATGGCCACGTAGTAAGTTTTATTGGTATGTCCCAATTAACTTTTGCTAACTTAATAATTAAAAAATTTTACTTTAATAGGGGGTTGTTCCATTGATAGCACATTAGTTAAATTTTTCTATTCTTTCCTAGCCTTAATATTTTATAAATTATTTGGCTCTTTCACTTGGTCCATCAATTTCATAAATGTACCTTCAGTGAAATATAACTAGATTCTCTAATAAAATCTGTCCTTTGTGATAATGATTTTGAAAGTAAAAACTTAAAATATTGGAAATGTAGAAAAACAGAATAAGCTGAAATACAGTCCCAGAGAAAGGCCCTTTAAAGATACGTTAGTGGTTCCAGCTGAAGATAAGCACCACTTGTCCAGGTCAGAAGCATCTGGCCTTTGAGATAAATATCCCATTACAGCTGGAATCTCAGAGACAGACATACAGATTACTATACTAACTGGTTTTCTTGAGGAAGTAGATACCTCCTAAATCAAGCAATAAAGATCATTCTGTGAGGATGCAGTACACTCTGATGTCAATAATAAGAGGTCAAAAGTGTAATTCCAAATGTTGTGAGCCCCCTAGTTTGCCTTTGAAGAAGTTGTATCTTTGAATTTATCTGAACACATTTAAGCACAACATTTCTTGAGTTAACTAGTCCTACATCTTATTTCTTATTCAAGCTTCAGGGGTGTTCTTTATATCAAATTGTCTGGGAGATAGTAAACTAGTGTATTTATTGATTCTCTAGATCCAGCTCAATAAAGATCTGTTAAGATACTGCCTTTTGTAGTCCAATAATTATTAGAATAAATTACCAGCTGCCTTTATGTATCCTGAAAGCAGTTCCCGGCCTAAAAAAAATCTCTTCCAAAAATCTACTTCCATGAGATCTTCTACCAGTCTATTTGATAATATTTAAAGTTCCTCATTAGTATAAAGTTAGCCAAGTTTTCACACTCACAAATCCCTTAAACATCTCTAGCTGAGGTTTAGCATCACAAATACAGATTTTTGTTGCTTTTTTTTTTTTAAAGGAGGACTCTATTCTTCTTTTGGAGAGGCTTCCCTAGTTTTTCTTATGTAAAGCCTTCTGAATTTTTCATATCTCACCGTCTCAGCTATGCATTGAAAGTAATGTTATTTTTCTCCGTTTTTGCACATGGAATGAGAATATTTCAGGAAAATGCCTGGGTTTACCTCTGAGTTACATGAAACACATGGAAACCAATGTTTACAATTTTGTATCCTTTGGTCCTTGGAAAAGCTCAGGCATCTTTGTAAAAACACTCAGTCTATAAACTAATGAGGACCAAATCCTTGGGCCTTAGCAGAAAATCTCAATCTGGCTCTCTCGATATTCACTGATTTGTTGTATAGAACCCAACTGATAATCATCTTGAGGAGCCTCTTCCCTTCTAGCAGGCATCTTAGGTAGTCAAAGTTAAAGGAGAAGAATATATTCACTTATCTAGCTATCTACACATATTCAATGCTTGGCTTCCAAAGGACTATTCATTGGTCTTTATACTTACTACCAAAATAAAGGTCCCCTCCACCCTGACCTTTTGTATGTTTGTCTTCCATCTGTGGAAGAAAAGGTATAAACCATATAGACAAGAGCTATCTTCCCATGTTGGCCTAGCACCCTACTAGTTCTCACTAGAACATGAGTACTGTGCTGGGGAGATGGAAGGTATTAGAATTGAGAAATGATTCCCCCGAGATTTGTCTCTGTATTTATCATGGGTCATGTTTAATGGATGGAGAAACATGGCGGGATGGAGTGGTTGTTAAATCACACACATATAACTATAATATGAATCACTGGAAGTTGGAAAATAAGAGTTATAAATGGCACATTTTTGACCTAGATTATCCACATTGGTAGGAGATGGGGAGAGTTTGAAGGGCAGGAAAGTGTTTTGTTAAGAAAGACTGACTGCTATAATACATTTGAAAGCACAATGATATGCCTAAGAATGAAATTAAATTAAGAATTTAGGCAGGATTCCAAAGAATTCTTTGAAGTTGAAAATATGTGTTTTGGAAAAGAATTAGCTTAAATGATTTAAAAAATAAAATGAAGAAAAATCCTAAATAAGTACCTTCTTTGGGCCAGATACTTCACATATTCTCATTTAATTGTCAAAATAAGCCCAGAGGTAAGAAAAATTAGCTCATTTTGTACCCAAAGAAACTCAGACTCAGGAAGGTAAAATAACCAGCCCAAGGGCACATTGCTGATGCTCTTTCATCCAACTGGCAACATTTCTATGAATAACCGATCTGCTCAAATATTTATGCAAGTTGAGTTTAATGTTGGTATCTTTATAATGTGAGTTAAGATTCAGTATTAACTTTGAATTTCAGCATTGGATCGTTAGTCAACCACGAATCAGGCAACAACATTATTCGAGCATCTAATATGGACAAATGATGGGGATATTGGGAATTCTGAAAGAAAATAATATCTCATTACTGAGATGGGTAGCATCTGAAAGAAAAGATAGAATGTGCACAAATCTACAGAAAAAGACATATACCTACAGAAATATGGACACACCCAGAATCATTTTGTAAGCAATAAAATGAGAAGAAAGTGATGGAGGTTACAATCATTTTGTAAGCAATAAAATGAGAAGGAAGTGATGGAGGTTACAATGTTACAATGACCTGGGTTAAGTAGGCTAGATACTTTTAAGACTCACAGGCAATTAAATAGAATTTAAACACGATGCAGGTGTTCATTATGTGCCGGATATAATGATCGGAGCATAAATAATCCTCATCTCAACCTTGTAAAGTAGGTACTAGTAAAACCCCAATTTTACTCGTGATAGAACTACGGCAGAAGGAGGTCAAGCATCTTGCCCGGGTTTCCATGGCTGGTAAGTGGCAGAGCTGGGATTGAACTGAGGCAATACCAGAGTCAAGGCTCTTATGTTGACCTTCAATGTCAGTGTGCCAGTATGTGGGCTACGTTTACCTGGGGACGTAAAGATTGTGATTCCCTAACCCTTGACATAAATTTTATTTGTGAAAACACTTCTCTGTTGTTCTTAGAGGAGTAAGCTCATCAATTTATTCAACAGATATTTATTGACTGAATACCTACAATGTACCATACACTGCTCACGCTAGGGCTAGAGCAGCGAACAGGACAGATAAGGACCCTGCTTTGTTACACGCACAGTACTAGGCACTCATTACACTTTGACAATGCATTACAATCTATTTTAATTTTGAATATAATGCACGTTTTTATCCGCTTGAATAAATTACCTACATTAGACTCCCCACAATCTGTTACCCTTAAAAATCACCCTTAAGAATTAATACCATTCTTCCAAAAATTCCAAGTAGGAAGGTTTGGGGGATTGCCAGTTAGAACCAGAGTTGCAGTTTAAACACCCTTATAGTCTTAGAATGATTTTTTGAATGGAGCATGAAACCATGTACCTTTGTGGTGGTTACATTTTCATAATATGGTAAGGTACTCTTGTCTATTTAGAAACAGTTAACTCCCACTGCACAAAACTGCTTATTATAGACATTCTTCCTTGTTCAGTGCCCTCTATCTGGTAAGCACTAAGTAATTAGTTATTAAATGATGTTTGCAGTAACGTGGAGGGTAAGGCATTCTACATTAAAGAAATTCACACTGCCATTACTACTCCATCCCCAAGCCTCCAACCCCTTCCCAAATTTAAACCGTCTTTTTCTTCTAACAATGTTTTCTTTTCCTGATAATAAAGGCCCACCTCTAAAAATCATCAAGCTACAACCCATTAAAATGAATGAACATTCTAGAAACCTGCTAAGGTAATTCTACGTCTTAATGAGGAAGGCAGGGCTCTAAGAATATTTTCATTGCCTCCTATAGGCGATTTCTTACCTACTCTTTGGAGGAGGGTGAGCAGTGTCAGCTTCCACTACCCCCGCACCCCACTCCCCCCCCCCCCCCCCCCCGCCCAGTCTGCTGCCTAGTCTTGCACGCAGGGGCTCACATGGCATCACTAAACGGGCTCTTTATATATATGCAGTTCCATAGCTACTTACATGCCCACGCACACGCGTGCATGCCCATGTATGCGTGCGTTTTGTATGCATATGGCGTGAGCCCGCGTTGGTTTCCCTCTCCTTTCGCTTGACCCCGGGGGAATCCCGGCAGTTCCCGGGAACTCAGGGAATCTCGAGATGAGGCAAATAGCCCTTTTCCCTTCCCTGGCGGCTGGCACCGCTGGGTCCCATGAATCTGCAGTGCTTCGTCTCACAAGCAGCTAATAAAGGGAGACTGAGAAGATGAGCGAGAGAATACAGGGACGAGGAAGGGGCCGTGGTACAAGAGATGACGCTTCGGGAGCTACCGAGCTATGATTGTGCTTTTACATACAAAGCCCTAGGAAACTGGAGGGGAGGCAAGGAAACTCCGAACCTAAAATGCTCTGAGATCATTTTTCTAATTGCGCCTGGAAACCACCGCCTGGCGTGTGTCCTGCGCGGGTCCAGGAATCCAAGGGAGCGCCGGCTGAAACTCGCGGCGCGGCATCCGGCACTTTGCACTTTGGTGGGGTTTGCGCTCCGAAGACGCGTCCACGCATCATTTTTCCAGGCATTGTGCGGGTTTCTTAAACCGCCAAGCTGCTGCCTCAGAGGGACTTTCTAGAAGCGCCTATTCTACTGCCTCCCCTCCCCTTTTTTTTTTTTGGTTTTTACCCCCGCGAGGAGCTTCTTCAGCTCCACTGCGTCCGCCATCCGAGGGGTACAGGTGCCGCTGTCCCGGCTGCCGCCGCCCCGTCCGCCGACGCCGCCTCCTCCGGGCGGACCTGGGGGCTTGACCCGGGGCTGCTGCATTTCGAATGGTCTTCTGCCTGGGCGCTGCGGCCGTTGCCCGTCGCCCGGGACTCCCCGCCCTCCCGCGCGACCCCGCGCCCGGGCGGGCGGCGCTTGCGGCGGGCAGGGGGCGGGGAGGGGAGCGGGGGCTCGTCCGGGGGTAGCCGCCTCCTCCGCAGCCTGCCGGCGCTTCGAAACCCGGACCTGCCTCCGCGTCTTCCTCCAGCGGCTCCATCCCGCCTCCCGCGCCTCGTCCTCCCGCCGCCCCCGCCGCCGCGCCCCCGGTGGCTGCCTCGGCGGACCCGGGAGGGGGCCCGCCGCCCGCTTGGCTCGGCTGGGCCCGGCCGGGGAGGCGTGCATGCCGCTGCTGCCCGCGGCGCTCACCAGCAGCATGCTCTATTTCCAGATGGTGATCATGGCAGGGACGGTGATGCTGGCGTACTACTTCGAGTACACGGACACGTTCACCGTGAACGTGCAGGGCTTCTTCTGCCACGACAGCGCCTACCGCAAGCCCTACCCCGGCCCGGAGGACAGCAGCGCCGTGCCCCCGGTGCTCCTCTACTCGCTGGCCGCCGGGGTCCCCGTGCTCGTGGTAAGCCCGGGGGTGCTCGCCTTCACCGCTGACTCCCTTCTTTCGCCCCTCGCCTTCGGGGTTGAGCCCCGCGGAGGGTCGGGGCGCGGCAGCCTTTGCCTTCTAAGTTCCTGCAAGTTGTGGGCAGCCCCTTCCCCGGAGGACATTCTTCTAGGGGGCGTCAGGGGTGGCTGCAAAGGAAGCCCCCGTCTCTCCCCACGTGCCACCCCCGCACTCCCTGCGGTGGCTGCAGTGTAGGGTGACGGGGAGAGGGTAGGAAGAAAGGGGCTGTAGGAGGTGATGGGTGGGGGTCTGGACTGGGGAGGAGGTAAGCCATTGGGATGAATTTTTACTTCCTCCACTCCGTGGCCTTCCTCCGTTGGCCACCTCCTCTCAGATTGAGACTGGAAGATGAGCAGCAGCGGGGCCAGCGACAGGGAGAGGGGGGTCCGTTCTTGGGGTGTGGAAGGGACTCCTGCTTCCCGAGTCCGGGCGCGTTTTCCTGTTTTCCCACCTCCTTCCCTTTCAGATGAATGTGCCGATGGAACTAAGCTGACCAGGGAACAAATAGCTAAAAAAAAATATGTGGCAATTCCTAAATGAAGAGGCTCCAGCACCACTGCTTGCTGAAAAGCAGGAGCTGTGCCTGAATTACAAGATTTATTTAAAGGTCGCTCCGCTCTCTGGGCAGCTTAAGTCCTTTTACAGTATCGCTGAGAATACATTTTGGATTTACGGACTGGTTGTGTGTGTGTGTCTATGCGGACACACGCACACACATATATATACACATATACATATGTAATTATTAGGATAATAATCACATAGTGATTTACATATGTGAATATGGCGCAAAGTTATTGGTAGGAGAATGGGTGGTGTTTCCTCAGAAAACATTATGGTGCCTTTAATATTGTCAGAGTATTGGAGGTTCCCTCTCTGTGGTACGGCTCCTCTCTCTCAATTAATTAAATTCAATTAAAAAATGAAGAGGGAAGGGAAGAGGAAGTTTCATTTTCAGTGGTCGAATGTGTAAATTGCAATAGTGAATGTTAAGAACATCTGTTGTATCTGTTAGGTTTGGGTATTCTTGTTTTCTTCGATTTTGGGGGAAATGATTTAACAATTTACAAAATAATGAAGAGTTCCTAACAAACATAGTGGAATTCCGGGAACAAACTGAGGAACTTCTTGCTAACTTCAAAGTAACTCTGTTTATCGCGGGTCCCGTGGTAGTTGACTCAAATTCAGCTCCAAAATACTGGTTTGAAAAGTGTTAGACTTTGCACCGGAAAACGTTTTGTTTTGTTTTTTTACAGCAATTTGCTAAAATGTGTCAGAAACTCCAAATCCAGTTTCAGGTTTGTGTTCTCTCTCTTCTGTTTGAAAAGCAGGAAGAGAAAAAAAATTGGTCTTTCTTGGGGCTCTTTTTGCCTTCTGCAGATGTTGGGTTCCCAGGCACACATTTTCAAGGAGACTGAATAGCTCAAGGATTTTTCAAAGACTGTTTTTTTGTTTTTGAGAGAAAAAAAGCCTGTCGCTTTCAGGTCACTGGTTGATTACAACCATAATCAATACTGTCTGTAACTCATCCCTTGGTAATTACTGTTCTGTTCTGTCTTATTTAGATGAGATAGCACTTTTCAGATCCTAACCATCCATCCATGGTGGCAGGTGCCGGTTAGAGATAAGAACTTATTCGCCCAAAGATTTTGATTATTCTCCACTCAGGGGGAACCTAGGAGGACAAGGGGAATTAATTAGTCATTACTGAGTGCCTGCTCTGTGCTGGGCACTGACTGGTCATAGCTGCATATACTTCTCACAGCATCCCTTCCAGCAGATATTCTCTCCAATTAACATTTGGGGATCCGGTAATAAACTAGAAACACCTAAAAACAAAAATGGTGGGTGTGGTGTTCGCATGCCCATGGGACTGATGCCAAATGGCATGTTACTTCTACTACTTGCAAAGAGCATGTTCTCTGAAAGGAGATGAGAGGTGACTGATGGGCAGGTATCTACAATATAAATTGATAAATTTTAAAAGGAGGATCCAACTCGATTTCCATGTTTTGACTTTCAGTTCTTTAGTTACAAGAGAAAGAATTTGGGAGTCAGTGTTAAGAGAAGGAAGTGCTGGGTTTTAGAGGATAGGCGTGCTGCTGGCCTTTGTTCCCCCTTCTGCTCTTCCAAATAGTACGCTCTCACCGTGTGAAAATTTGGAGGCAGTGAGGGCTGCTCTTCCTTTCCATCCCTCTCCAGGACCCTGGCTTAGCACAGTCACTTTGCATGAAAATAATACTATTAATAATAATGTTAGTAGTACTCCTCATCTGTATAGTTATATTCTTTATACCCATCTCATATTTGCATTATCTATGAAAACAGTTATTATTGTCACCTAACATTTGGGAAAATTGAGGCTTGGAAAGATTAGGTAACTTGCCCAAGGACAATGGCTAAAAATGTTACACCTAGAATTTTAACCCCACCGTGTCAAACTCCCACGCCTGTGTCTTTTCTATTAAATATGCAAATTCAGTCTACTCGTAAATCATTCTTCTGAATAAATACCTCAAACAGTTTCTTTCCCCATCTTTTACATTTCTTGGACGGTAGTGATAAAAATTCTTCAGAATATGTATTTTTAACATTCAAAACTCATTTTTAATCCTTGAAATTAATTTTGAAAAGCAGCTCTCTTCACTTCACAATCTGTGGTTTTGTTTCATACTTCCTAAATTTATTTATCTGAAAATTAAAAGCAATACATCTTTTCATTTTTACCCCTTTTATCTAGTGTTGACTTGGGCCCAGGTTTGGAGTCTAACAAATTTGGATTCAGAGCCAAAGTACATCCTGCTGCTCTGTTACCAGTTGGGAATTCTGCTTGCTGTGTAACCTTGAACAACTTATTTAAGCTTGTTAAGTCTCAATTTCCTAAGTCATAAGATTTTGAATGGTAAATGAGATATAATATGTAAATGTCATCCTTGGCCCATGGTTGATACTCCATTATCATTAGCATTATTAATAAAATAATAATTCAGTAAATGTTTAGTGAGTTCCTGTGTTGCAAGCAGCAGATCAGGCTGAGTAGAGGTTATAAGGGCAACTTCAGAAGTAAACCATATTCACTGATCCTAAGGAGTCTACTGTCGAATTTGGGAAATGAGGTAAACACACAAAAGGTTATAATATAAATTGTCATAATAAAAGTAGCATATATACATACATATGTATGTGTGTACCACAAAGACCTGTGGTGGTCCAGAAGAGGAGAAGATTATTGGGAGGGGTCGGGAAAGGCTTCATGAAGAAAAGGTGGCATTTGAGATGTGACTTGAAGGAGAGGCTGAAATGGAGTTTGACTCAGGGCATCACAGAAGCAGCTAGGTGAACAACCCGTTGGTAGCAGGAAATGCAGGCTGTACTCTTGAAATAGCCATTGGTTCAGCTTGTTCCGAAGAGTGGTGTGTGGGGAACACGGTGGGTATATGGCTGAAGAGGAAGACAAAGGTCTCATTAATGTGACTTGGAATGCCAGGCTGAGTTTTTCTCACTTTCTTGGGAATTGAGTAGGGACAATGTCTGATGGGTGGTATTTTAGGACATTTTGGGGACAGCAGTGTAGGTCTCTTCTATTATTAAAATATCTATATAACATAATTTTAAAGTCTTCATTCCCAAGTCTGTTTTGTTTTGTGAACTATTATTCTAAATGTTTTTTCGAAATACACCTGTAATTTGGGCTCATTTACAAAGATGACATGATTTATAGACTCTTTGAAAAGAAGTATTGTTTGGTTTGACCTGTATGTATAGCATTTGCCAAAGTACCGTGTGCAGCTTTTACAGATATAAATTTAATTAGTGATCTTTGGTTTTCATTGATTAAAAGAACTGGTGCTGACAATGGTTTCTGCTCCCCACATTGGGATACAGGGGCCACTAGAAGCTATTGTTCCTTAGATCTCTGTGCAACACAGATGATTAGAGGGAGATGAAGCTAGACCATGCATCATCAGAGAGCCAGAGCCAAGACAGAAAACCGGCACCAAGCAGGGCAGTTTGAGGGTTAGGGAACATCTCTGATTCTTAATGTCTGCATCCCCAGGAAACTCCCTCTGGACTCTGAGACTCTGAGGGGTGTAGCTACTGCTGCTATCCCAAGGGTGTTGCATCACTAAATGTGGCAGAGGTACGTGATGACAGAAGGGCATTTCGTATCCTGAGCCTCATCATATGGAATCAAAGTGCCTACAGCTTTCCTACAGACCTCTTCTCCCTCCAACCTTGCTTTGGCGGCTCCCTTCTATCCCCCATTCCTGAAACACACTCCTGTGCCTGTGGTGCAAGAGAGAAAGCCCAGACATGGATGTCAGGCAAGTCTGGATTCTTATCCTGGTGTCTCTCACTTACTAGCCTTGTGACCTTAGGCAAAATTTCCTTATTCATAAACTGGAGATAAAAATGCCTACCACTTGAGAGGTAGTGCATGCGGAGGTCAAGATCACAGATTCCCGAGAGTCAGACTACTTGGGTTTGAAACTCAGATCTGCCACTTTCCAGCTGTGTGAACTTGACCCAGTCTCTTTGTGTCTCAGTTTCTTTGACTGTAAAATGGAGATCATATGAGTATTAGCCTCATAGGATTATAATGAGTATGAAATGGCTGAACGTATGTAAGTAGCAGAGTAGTGCCCAGCTATATATGCGTTAGCTACCATTACTCCTCTCAAGGTTGTGATGGTTAATTAAAATAACCTATTTAAATCACCTAGCAAAATATGTTTGTTTGTTAGTAGATTTCAGGGCTGATAAAATATTAGAGAAGGCCATAGGCCACCTAGTTCAATCCGCTCACCCACAAAAATTGGGGAGTCTGAATAGCAAGAATGGTAAAACTCAATCAGAACTCTGTTCTTGGAATTAAGTCAATGATTCCTACCTTTGACAACACCTCCATTTCTTCAAGTAGGCTAACGCCAGCTAGTATCTCTATGTACCAGACTCTG